AAGGGCCCGAAACACTTTCTTTGGATACAAGAGTGCGTTGCAATGAAGTATTTAAAGGTAGTAAATGGAACAAGTCCGATGCGCGGACAAAGGCAGTACCAGGAGTCCAAATGAAGGACGCCTTAAACCGTTCCGGATTTGTGCACCTTCATGACAAGGGCAAAGACCAGACGGACCGCACCGTATAGTTGCTGTGCGGGGTAATCTTACACCCTCCTGTCATGCACAGTTTTGACTGAGATTGTATTTTGGCAGAAGGAGAACAGGACGCTCCGCAGCGACTTAGGTAAGCAATCCAATTTACCTCCCTTTGCCAAAAAACACTTACACCCACTTTGACAGGAGATCGCGCAACTCATGATTACGGGCCTTCGGATTTATCCGAAGTTGACAATACAGTCAGAACCCCCGACAAGCACTCAGATTGGCAGAAACATAAATGATGGCCATAGCAACGATGTCAGCCGGGAGACAGAGTTGTTGCCAAGTCTGTTTCAGTCAGATCGAGGTAAGAGGTGGTTTGGACACGCTGCCCGGTCTCTCATTTGCAGAAAGCTGCCGAGGAACCAAAGGCAAACAAATCCCACCAAGACGAGTGGAAGAGTTCTTTGCTCCTGGGAGGGGCCCGCATGAACTTTTCGGCGCACACCCTGCAGCTCCAGAACCTACGAACAAAAATGCCAGATCTTTGTGTTCCTCCTAAGGGTATGATTGGCAAAATAGGGACTTGCGGAAGGACGCACGGATGCACACACAGATTGGAAACATGTACGGACTACCAAAATGTGATGTTGGTTTCCGCCTGGAGGTATCTGAGCTAAAGGGTCACAAGGAACCCCGCAATTTCATGGAAGATCCCACGCAAATCCCCGCGTTTTGTGCCACTCAGTGCTGTGGCTGCGTCTGAAGGTCAAGTCAGACACTGGTTGCGTGCCTTCTGCCTACCTTGGGTGGTGACTCCGAGAATTGTGAATGGGGCCAGGTTGCTGATCCGCAACGCCGAAGGGGCAACAAAAACCCGTTTGTTTGGGTAAATGGCTGCGCGGGGTGCAGTCCATACATAGTTCACTTCTTTAAGCTCAAGTGCAAGATTGGCAGGCAGGACCTCTTGAAAAAGTGCACACATAGCCCACAACAACGCGTGGGTTGCCTGGCGCAAGCTGAGAGATCATGTTTCTGCGCAGAGGCGAACACAATTGTCCGGGATTTGGGCAACTTCAGCGCCGGGATTTGGGCAACTTCATTCAGCTGACTCAACTACGGAGATGGAACGACCCACTGACGCCGGCAGCCATCCGGATGACCTATCCCCACTTGTGGGGACCCAATATGAATCAACCACTTGATTAATCAGGGCTCCTGAAAAGATACATTTTGCCCATTTGAAACATGGCTTTTTCCACCAAAATAAGGGGAGCCCACCATTTACAAGGCAATGCTCAGGTGTATAGTGTAAGGTGCTAATCAATCCAGGGTTCCCATCAAGCGTATTGATGGCAGGTGGCACGCATGAGCTACGAGAACATGGCGCCTCCTCTGCAAAACGGAAAATGCGAATCTCCCGGCACAGCGAAATTGCAAGCTGGTGAATCTTTGCAGCCGCGCAAAAACCTGAGACCCGTGCTGGCTCAAGAATCGTTCGCGGCTTCGGTCGCTGGCCAATCCATTTTTCAATTGTCTCTGCGGTCATTTTCACCTTGTGGCTGTCTGAAGTGGATGGTTTGGTGAGGTTTCCAGGAGGTACAGGGGTGTCCATTTTTGAGGGTACCCCTTTTGGCTTTGGAAGGGACCCAAAAGGAACACCTGCATTATGGGGGTCCCGTATTTTTTTACAAAACAAAACAAAAACACACGACACACCAAGAGGAGTGCTATGTCTGGATGACACTTCTGCTCAGGACCTATAGGTCCCCCTTTGTGCCAAGAGCTTCGCATACCATCGACGCGCTTTTCTTCCCGAGGTTGGGCAAAGCATTTTCTGAAACAGAACTTGTTTCAACAAGTTTTGCTTTAATCCATGATTCCATCCAGCTGGCCCATCTTGTTTTTTTGGGCGACATGCGACATATTTAAGGTCCACAACCCAGCTTTCCATGAACTTGCCTGGCCATCTCCTGCCAACCCTGCCAGCTGTCCTTGTTTGGTCTCAAGGCCTGTGAAGTCCAACTTTTCCATCGGGTTTCATCCATTCCAACTGGTGCCTTCAGGCAGTACCTCGCCTCAGTTTGCTTCTCAAGGGGTAGAACCCTCATTGGTTATGAGGTTGTGTGTCATTTTTCATAAAGAACTCGGACGATTGCGAGGTCATGCGCGCGGAAATCCGGAAGATGCGGGAAGACCTAGTGCACATGCACCCCCTTGGTCTCGAACACGAAAAGACGTCGCGGTCCTCCAGGCGGAAAAGGGTTGCAAACAGACCCAAGGGGTGTGTCGTTTTGTTTGGAGGGACGCCCCGGTGGTTTCACTTTTGGATCGCTTTCAAACCACACAGCACAGGACCCCCCGGAAAAGACAGCCCTGCGTGGTAGGGATGGTCACCAACCTCCTAGGCGTTTGCGACAACCAATGAGGGGATTCCCGTCAAGGGGACCATTGCAATGACCCATGTTTTGACTATGGCACGACATGGAAACAAGCAGTTGGAGGGTGCTCGCTGCGCCCTTGTCCATTTTTCAGCTTTTTTCGAGCACCTCCAAAGATGGTCCTTGCATGGATCTATGTTTTGTGGTTTCAACTTTGTGGAGGAAACACCCTGATTGAACTCAACCGACTCGGTCTTGGCTTGTGTAAGGGTGCTGTTTCAAGCATGGTTTAACTGGGCCCCTTAGTGAAAAGTTTCGCAAAAGGTGGACTTTCAACGACCATGAGGGTGATGTTTCGAAAGTCACCGGAGTTATACTGGCCCCAGTTTCTTCAATTGTTTGAACGACCTTCTTTTGGTTTCCAAGGGGCGTGTCTTTTTCTGTTGCTTTCGACTGGATTTTTGCGGAAACCGAAAGGACGCCAACTTTTTGTTTCGGAGTCGCCTAAAAACAGACACCTCCATGTTGCCAAGGTGCGAAGACGTTTGAACAATCTGCCAGGCACTCCCGCGAAGGTCGCTCCATTGAAGCATTATGAGAGCCTTGCTCCGCTTGTCGTTTTCACCGACGCCTTTGGCTCTGCTCCCCTGCTGTTCTGAGCCGGGGCCGACCAGCATATTCTTTCTCTGCAGATCATGTCAAGGTACCTTCGGCTAACGTTCTTGCGCGAATTTCACGAACACAAGAGGCTTCGGCCTGGTGCTGGCCCTGACTGGTTTCTCGTGGCAAAGTCGCACGAAGCCCCGCAGCTGTCTGGTCATGGGGGGGTCTTGGCACACAGTTTGAGAAGGTGGGGATGAATCCGGCAACAAGGATCATTCGTTCTTTTTTCCAGGCTTCGCTGAACATGGACCAGGACCAAACATATCATTTGTGGTAGTGAGCGAACGCTGAATTAGGCAACCCTCAGAATCTCTCGCACACCTGGCTGCGGGTCAAAACCAATGGTACCATTTTGGGGTAGGTGAATTCACCACCCATGTTAGTCTGTAGTGGGGATTGAATCGGATGTTCACTCAAAATG